GGGAAAGTCAGCGGGGCAGGACGGGACGGTGCCGGCGAGGTCACCCCTGAGCTCCTGGGGGCTGGAGAGAAGACAAAACCCCCCGGCTGGTGCCACGTCCGGCCGCTCTGCCACCCCGCATCATGCTGCTGATCCTTGGCCTCCTGGTCTTGGTGCCCTGCCTGGCTCTCCTAACCTCCTTCCTCCTCTCTCCAGGAGGCAAAAGTGGTGGCAACAAGAAGAATGACGGCGTGAAGGTAAGTCCCCTCTCCCTGCTGCCCTCTCCAGCCTGATCCTTGCTGCGGGGCCGGTGGCGGGGGTCCCGGTGCTGTGCCGGCTGTCCCCACCACACCCTGCACTTTAAAGGGCAGCTGTTGGCCCGGCTGTCCCCCTGTGTCCCCATGCCACCAGCTCTGCTCCTGCCAGGACAGGCAGTGCATGGGAGGCTTTGTGAGGGGAGCTGGCTGGTGCTGGAGGGGTGCACAGGGGGAACTGGCTGCTGTTTCATTGCTGCAAAACATGGTCCCCAAGGACGGGGAGAGGCTGGAATAGGAGAGGGGACAAAGGGATGCAGCTCTGCAGCCTGAAGCCATGGCTGCAGCCTGGCAGCAACCACATCATGAGATGGGCAGCTCCCTCTCCTGCTCACCCCAGCACCCGTCCTGCTGCTGGAGGGTCTGCAGCTGGTGGGGCTGGGCTCGCTCCCAGCTCCTGTCCCATCCTGTCCCCAGGGGCTGGTGTGCTGCTGGGTGGCACGTGGGTGCCTTCAACCCTCTGGGCAGCTCTGCCATCCCCTGTGCCCAGTGGAGGCAGAGCAAACAAACTTGGTCATGCTTGACAGAGCAAATGTGGTGATGTTCGATGAACAATCCGGTGCTTGGTGGACCTTGTTTCTCAGGCTGCAGAGCCCTCAGGTTCACCTGTCGCTCTGTATGGGGCCACAGCTCTTCTCCAGGATTTGGTTGCTCTTGGAGGAAGCAAAATCCTGCTGCTGAGCAGCTTTTTCTGCTGATCCAGAGATGTGGCAATTAGCCATGCAGTGGTTAATCATCCTCTTGTAGGAAGGAATGGCCTGTGTGAGGGTCCTTCTCTCTTTGCCTGTTCCCTCCATGAGTACAAGTGGTCAATCAGCAGGGAAGAGCTGGTGTGACCACATCTCCCACCACAGAGCAAGGGTGCAAAGTGTCAGGCAGAGCTTTGGAAGCCTGACTGCAGCATGGTCACTCTCCTTTCTCCAGCCCTTTCATAGGACTTACTGGGCTGTCAGATGCACAGGGTTATGGAAGAGCAGGGCCCTCAGCTGGCTCCTTCCCTCCTCAGTCCAGTCAGTGGTCTGGGGATGGCTTGTCTTTCTCCCAGTCCTTCCAGACCCACAAACTGGGACAGGCCAAGCCTGCAAGGTGTGGGACCATGCATGCACAACCCTCCAGACCGGGGCTCAGCTCCACAGCAGTCTGTTCTGGCTGCTTTATTCTGCAACATGAAGCTGATGGCCTGCATTGGTATGAGAGGACATTGCTTTGGGCCATGGTGTCAGGATACCACGTGGTTTCCAGGACAAGATTGCTAGTTTTGGACAACAGTGCTGGCACAGAGGGGGCAGGACCCATGGGAATCCCAGCAACCCATCTGCCAGCCACTGCTGGCCTGTCCTCTGCTGCTCCGAGGTCCCAGCTGCTTCTGGGAGTCACCTGAGAAGTTACACCACAGGTAGAGCTGACTCAGTACGAGTTGCTGGAGCATGGGTGGGAGCAGTCAAAATATGTGTTTTTAAGCTGTAAAAAGAGTGGTTGGTGCATGGAGAGGCTTCATCAGGCACTGTCCTGAACCTAAATTTCCATCAGAAATGGACAGCCCTGACTTTCCTCTCTAGCATCACTGGGATGATGTGGTGGCAGAAGACCATTTGCCAGCCTAACTTGTTAATGATGTTCCCTCTTTGACTTCAAAGAAGCTTTGAGAGCAGACCTTATCCTGGGAAGAAGGCACTTTCTATCACAGCAAAACAACTAGTTTGGTTAACCAACCTCCTGGGCCATCACTGAAACTCAGGAAGGGAAGTCTGGTGCCAGAGCAGGATCTGAAGGGCTGGTTTGTATCCCCAGTCCTCCCTGGTGGGCAGACAGCAGTGAGTGAGGCTTCATCCTGAGTGCAGTCTACCAGCCAACACTTGGCTCAGGAGGGTGTACAAGCTCTGGAGAATGAGTTTGCTTTTTTATTGCCCCTTTTCCAACAAGTGGAGGTGAGACAGCCTGGTTAAACAGCCAGGAAGGGATAGGAGGAGAAGACAAAGCAGAGGCAAGCTTTTCCCAGCAGGTTGCTTCTGTTGGCCAACTTCAGCATTACCATTCCCACCTCTCATTCCTGTAGTCAGCCTGGGAAGATGCGCAGCGTAACCCTCTGATGGGGGCACAGGGAGGCTGGGTGTTCCGGTCCAAGCATTAGTGGCCCACTGTGGGCAGCGGGCATGTGCCAGGGCATGGGAGATGGTCACCTCTTTCTATCTTGCCAGAAAAGTGAGGCATTAACCTGGAAACCTGCCTTGGGTGCATGGGAAGGTGGGAAGGGAGTGGTCCTGCCTGCCCAGAACGGGGCTGTAAGTCAGGGCACGTGGTGTGGTTCACTGTTGGAAGACTTGTGTCCCCATTTGGAGGAACCTGCTGGACTGACCATCCCTACAAGAGCAGACAGATCCCAGGCAGCCAGCCCTGCCGTTCCTGCCCAAAGATACTCAGATGGGCAGCAGGTAGCTGGTGCTGCCCTCCAGCCTGCCTGCACAACCTTCTGGCACTGGGATGGTGCCACCTCGTGCTCAGAGGGCCTCCCAAGGAGGAATTCATGGGACCAAAAATCCCTCTTGAGCCCTGCTCTGGGGTCTCTGAGAGGTGTTCTGGTCCCAGCAGCTATGATACCTTCACTGCCCTGTGTAGTGTCACATCTTGTCACATTGTAAACTAATGAAATCACTGCCCCATGTCACATCCTGTCCCGTCCTAAATTACTGAGCTCACTGCCCCGTGTTGCATCCTGTTACTGTATGTCCAGACTCGACGCGGTCACTGCTTTGTGTTGCATTCTGTTGCGTCTGAAATTTCTGCAGTTTACTGCCCCGTCTCATGTCCTCAAGTAGCAGAAGCCGCCGGCCCCTTCCCACAGCCCGGGAGGCTCCTTCCCACAGAGCGCAGCTCGCCCAGCCCTGCGGGACCCCCGTGGGCCCGGTGAGAGGGGGCCGAGGATTCATGTAGGACCTAGCGAGGGGACCTCACGCTGGTGAGGATGTGGAAGGAGCCAAGAGGAGGGGTGGATACCGGTGGTTCTTACGCCACGTCCAGCCGTGCACCCCAACGGGTCTCTCCGTGGATTTTTCCAAGACAATTGCACTGTGTGTGCTGCTTTTCCCTCTGCAGGGCAGGCAGAGCCAGTGCCTCGTTAATTAGGGTGTGAAACCCTTTGTTGTTTGGCACTGCACTTTCTGATTCCTGCATGCTGGTGTTCCCTGTTGCCTGCTGTGATTCATCCCCCCGGGAGCTGAAGATGGAGAAAGGGCACGAGGCCAGCGTGCATGTCCCCCTCTTTCCTGGCTAGATTAAAGATGGAGATGGGGAGCAGAGCACAGCAAGGAAGGAGAGTCCAGAAGTAGTTTGGGATTGCAAGCAGAAATGTGGCTATGGGGTCATCCCACCCAAAACTCTTGAAGTCTAGTGGTTGTGGTCAAGGATGGAGATAAACACGTGCATGTGTAAGGTCTTGTCTTTGTAGGAGACTTGTCCTGGTTTAAAGCATTGGAGCTGTGCTCAGGACAGCTTCCCACAGGGGTGTCTGCCTTGCAGGGTTGGGTAACAATAGCCACGCTGGCTTTAAACCAGCCAGTTTAGCACTGGTCTAGGTCCAAAGCCAACAGAGCATCTCCACAGTAATCAGCAGCGTGGGCAGATGCACCAGACCAGCTCTGGAGACTGTGAACATCAGTATGGCATCCACCACAGAGCTGCACGGGTAGTGGAGCTGCCTTAGCTTTTCAGCATCCCACTCCTCTTCCTCTGAGCTTGCTGGCCTGGTCATAGAGCCAGCAGGAGCAGTCATACTCCTAGGGGACTCCCTTTTGGACTAGGCAGGTCCTTGGGATGAGCAACACCAGAGATTGTGGCAGGTCAGGAGAGAAAGGTGCCAGCAGGAAGCGGGGGAGGGAGCTGGCATGGAGCCACCAGCACTGCAGCCAGCAGCACATCCCTACAGGAGCACCAGGTTGTCCCCTTGTGCCTTTCATTTGCCCCTCCACGAGGACCACGAAGGGTGGCTTAGAAGCTGCTGCCTCTCACGTGCCGCTCTCTGCCTTTCTCACTCTGTGTCTCTTCCTGTTCCATCTCTTCTCCTTGTTTTTCCAGAAAAGAAAGTCCAGTTCCAGCGTTCAGTTAATGGTGAGTGTCCTTCGTCTTCCTCAATGCCGATATTGCTGGGCCTCTCTACATGTTCCAGCTTCCTCTGTTTTTGGAAGTTACCTTCGGGGTAGGGAAGAAGGGACACCGGGGTTGGAGGGAACATCTTCAAAGCCGTATCACCCACAAACCCCATTAACAGGGTTGGTGCAGGCACTTGCTGGCCACTAGCTGGTGGGAAGCCAGCCCTGGCTCTTGCTGATGGGTTCTCATGCCGTTTCTCCCAGTTCTCCTGACTCAGGTCTGCAGGCTGCATCGGTCCAAGGAGCCTTGGAGAAACACCTTCCATGCCTCTGCGGGGACTGTATGGTCATGGGACACCTTGCCAACCTACATCGGGGTATTATGGGTAATACATAAGCAAGGCTCTGCTGGGAAGAGCTAGCAGAGCCATTGCTCTAGCTCCGCTAGCAGAGTCGCCTTGATGGGGCTCCTGGAGAGAGATGAGGGGTCAGTACCCCCCTCCCCCCAAATCTGTGTAGTGCTCAGCAGCTGTTTCTTGAAAAAGCTGTGTCTCAGCCTTCGGTGGTCCATGTGGGTCTTGGAAAGCACTCTGTTTTATCGTACATTTCTCTCCCTACTCTGCGGTCAGTGTGGTCTCTCTCACTCCTGCACAGTCCCCTCTTTCTCATCCCAAGCTCCTCCTCGCTGTTTAATTTGTACATCTCTCTCTTTATCGTACAGTCAACATGGTGTCTTCCACCCCCACACAGCCCCTCTCCCTGCCCCTCCGGCATCGCTCCTAGGAACCCACCAAACCCCCCTGGACCTGCCCTGTCTCTGTCCCCGCAGGCGTCGGTAGGAAAGGCAGCGCGGTTCCTACGGGACCCTCCCCAGCCCAGCTCTTGTGCCCTTGGCTACAAGGAGTGGAGGTCAGGGAGGGCTCTGCCAGTGCTGCCCTAGAGCCGTGGTTGAGGACGGGTTGGACCTGCTGGTGTTTTCCTTGGTTTCTGTCCGTTGGCACAGTCGAGCGCTGTGGGGTCAGACTCGGGGGGCTGTCAAACACACGAGCTCTGTCCGGTGTGGGGCAAAGACCCTTCTCACCATCCCATCTCTCCTCTCTGTTCTTTGCTCAGGAATCATCGGAGAGCACCAACACCACCATTGAGGATGAAGACACCAAAGGTACCAACAGGGGCACCTGGGAGGGTGGGCATGCTCTTTTGGAAGGTTACCCTGGGATTATTAGTGCAGCCACCCCTAATGAGATATTGGCTATGGCAAAACTCACGATCATTGAACTGCCTTGGGGCCCTTCAGAAGTGTCTTTTGTTCTTTAGGGTGATATGTCACAAGTGGTTTCCCTGCTGTGTCACCACAATGAGCAGCTGGGGCACTGCTGGTGAGGAGAGGGGCTCCCAAAACCAAGGATGTTCCTTGAAAACAGGCATGGAAATGGCAGAAATCTGCACGGATAGCAGCCTGGCTGCTTGTTCTTCCAAAATAAATGGCCCTTTGGGAAAAGCCTCCAGGGGAAATCCCTGTCTCCCGCCTGCCAGAGCCAGCTTTCTAAGAATAACCCAGGGAATAATTTATCGGTGCTAATTTGTAAAGTCTCTCAGTGAAGCCACCTCAGCACAAAGCAAGATGGACTTTGGCCTGACTTGGGAGTTATGGGGACACTTGTCCTCCTGGGGAAGGGCTCCCTGAGAGTGGACACAGAGGCAGGCGGGGCTTGGGAAGTGATGGGGTTCCCTCTCCTCCTTTCTGAATGACTCTCGGGAACGTGCTCCCTCATTAGCCACAGTGCAAAAAAAACAAGTCAAGCATGACACGAATTTGCATTTAAAGCAGAGCCTCACTAGAACCCAGGGTTATCTCTGACAGCTCCTCCTGAATCCCAGGAAGCCAAACTCCTTGCAGCCCAGTCCCTTCCCAACTGAGCCAGCAGTTCCCAGGATACCCAGCAGCAGCCACACAGTGCCACAGTGTCACTCTCCTGCTTTTTCCAGTGGCCCCCAACGTCCTGTGGTCTGTTTTTATTGAGAAAAAGATATATCAGTGATATTGCAATGTCAGCACTTTTGGGTTGTTTTCTCCTTTTTCTTTCTTCCTTCTTCTCTCTAAACCAACAGTACGGAAGCAAGAAATCATTAAAGTCACAGAGCAGCTGATTGAAGCAATAAGCAACGGGGACTTTGAGTCCTACACGTGAGTGTGCCTAGTGTGGGTTTGGGCCAGGGCATGGGCTTGACTCCCTGGAGTGGGTGCTGTCACTGTCACAACGCAGCCTGGGAGGTTTTGTGGATGCCCAGGGCAGGGTGACCAGGTTGATGTGGGGTATAGAGACCATCCAAGAGAAGCAAGGAATATCAGTTTCCAAACATGGTGTTTCTCTCACGCTGAGCTGATCGCATCTCTCTGGTGTCACCATCATGGAAAAGCCCATTTTCTGGTTTGCAGAACTCTGAATTATGGTGGAAGAAGGAACACTCTATCCATGGTATCCATTATATCCAGATTGCTGCAGGGTGCTTGGAAGCATAACTGCTTTCTACTTGCTGAGCTGATGCTCCTCAGAGTACACTGCTCCTGCGCCCAAGGCCCATTTAATTAGCAGTTTCTGAGCAAGTGCAGGTCTTCATCCCTGCCTCAGAGAATTGCAGCAGGGATATTTTGATGCAGAGCAGAGATTACGAGTTCCTCCCTGCTGTTTTTCTTTCTTACAAAGAAGATGCCAATGTTTTGGGAGGTTTAACTGGAGATGGTGAGCAGTGGAGAATTCACCCTGCCTCACTGGGGTACCAGCTGCAGTTGGTGGGCTGGAGGTGAGGTGGGGTGGGCTTCATGCAGATTGCAGGGATGGGGTCAGACTTGCTTGAATTGCTGGCTGGTGCAGAGGCTCCTCGGCCTCGGGCTGAGGGAGTCACTCCAAGCACGAATTGCTTGGGTTTGCAGGCTGTCATGCCAGGAGCAGCGAGATAACCTCTCCCTTTTCTCTCCCCTTCCCACCTCTCCAGGAAGATGTGTGACCCTGGGATGACTGCTTTCGAGCCTGAGGCTCTGGGCAACCTTGTGGAAGGCCTGGATTTCCACCGATTCTACTTTGAAAACCGTAAGCAGCCCCTTGCCTCCTGAGGGACCCTTCCCACCTCCTGGGAGTCCAGCTGTGTCTTGACCTCCATCCCTTCGCTGGAGGGAGGGGGATAAGGGTGGTTTTGGGAGCATCTCTGGCTGATCTGGAAGATCCCAGCAGGAGGTGAATGAACCCAGTTAGGTCAACTGGGGCTGCATGCAGAGGAGTTGCTTGCTTTGCTGCTTTCTATGCAGCCCCATCCTGAACCCACTCAGGCAGCATTTACAAAGCTGCCTGTCCTTCTACCCTCTCCAGTGTGGTCCCGGAACAGCAAACCTGTGCACACGACGATCCTGAACCCCCACATCCACCTGATGGGAGACGAGTCCGCCTGCATCGCCTACATCCGCATCACACAGTATGTGGACGCGGGAGGGATCCCCCGCACCGCCCAGTCCGAGGAGACCCGCATCTGGCACCGCCGGGATGGCAAATGGCAGATTGTCCACTTCCACAGATCCGGGGCGCCCTCTGTCCTACCGCAGTAAGCCCTGTGAGGCTCCAGGGATGGGACATGGGGGTTCTGGAGGGGATGGGGTGGGCTCCTTGCGGTGCTGGGGCTGTGCAGGGTGGGTGGGATCCCACCCTGGGGAGCTGCGGTGGGGAGGAAGTGGCTGGTGGCCTCCAGACCGTGCTGGGGAGGGATGCTCTGCTGAAGGGATGCTCAAAGCAAACTCTGTCTCTGCCCGGTTTGTCTCCCTGCAGCTGAAGTGTGGTTCTGCCTGTGTGGGGTTTGTCACTGACTGACTACCAAGGGGAGACTTCCTCCAACATCTTCACCTGTGGGACTTTGGCTGTTGGCTCTGCTGCTTGGTTCCCCGCTGGAATAGCCCCTCGCTCCTCACTGCACACACACACGCACAAACACACACACACACACACACACACACACACCCTACTTGGATTCAGTGTTAGATTCCTGTACTGGGTCTGGCTGGAATGGAGTTCATTTTCTTCACAGGAGCCCATATGGTGCTGAGGTTTGGATTTCTGACTAAAAGAGTGTTGCTAACACACTGATGGTTTAGCTATCACTGAGCAGTGCTTGCACAGTATCAAGACTTTAATTTCTTATCTGTCTGGCTGGTGAGCAGGCTGGGCACAGGCAAGAAGTTGGGAGGGGACACAGCTCAGTCAGTTGACTCCAACTGACCAAAGGGACATCCCATACCATATAATTTTGTGCTCAGCAATACAACTGGGTGTGGTCTTTCAACGATAGCTGTTGCTTGGAGACAGGCTGGGCAACAGTCTGCTGGTGGGAGGTGGTGAGTGATTGCCTTTGCATCACTTGGTGCATGGGTTTTTTTCCTTCACTTATTAAACTGTCTTTATCTCAACCCACAAGTTTTTCTCACTTTTGATTTTCCGATTCTCTCCCTCATCTTGCTGGAGAGAGTGACTGGGTGGGTGCTTAGCTGCTGGCTGCAGTCATCCAGCTACATTTTCTCAAACCCACCACATATTTTACTGGATAAGAGAACAAAGCCAAAATGTTCTACGTGTCTCTCTAGGTGGGCATGACCCCAAGGACTGGCATGATGTCATCCAAACTCTTGAAGCATTAGCACTCTTCCTGGCTTAATTTTGTTCCGCACTAAATAGCATTATCCCAGGCAATGCTTTGAGCATGGGAGAGCTGGAATTGGCAAGAGACCAGTGATGGCAGGCTTTTTGGATATGGCCATCGTATTTTGGAGTACAAAGAAACTTACTAACATAGACATTCAGTGCATCATTCCAGCTGGCTGCAAGATGAGTGAATGCTTTCTAACCTGTTGTGTTTGCAAGTACAAATAGATGTAGCCATAATGTATCTTTAAAAAATAAACTGAAGTTGTGTGGTAGGAGAATAAATTACCAAAATAATGTGGGTACTATCTCCATTTCCTGGATTATTTCTATTTTGGACTTAACTTTCTCAAAAGGGACCATATCTCATTGTCTTTCTGTACAGCAAATCCTGAAAGACACTGTTCTTTGAGGAAATCTGGACGTGCTAGAAACTGATATACTTGGTGGCAAAATCATCCTTTTCCTGTTATCATTATTCTTATATAAAGACTTTTAAGGCCTATGTATACAACTGTGATTAAAAAAGAAACATAAAGAATAAGCGTAGGTGACATTTGGTAATGTTCTAATAGCATTGCAAAGCTATTGCTTCAGTGGTTTCAGCCAATAGTGTAAAGAGCACACACACACACACCCCAGCCCTGCTGGTGCCGTGCGACCATCCCCATCCAACCCCCCGCCCTGCCGGGGCCGTGGCGCTGGGCCCCTTCCTCTGCATGAACCAACACAAGAGAAACCATGAACCTAAACCCAAGCATCTGGCTGGCGAGAAGATGTGTGCCGGGGTCAAGGCCACCCTCCCCTGCCCCCCCAGGCTGCATGGTGTTGGGACCCCCCACTGCTCAGCACATCTTCTGATTTGGGCTCCAACTCATTATCCTCCTCCATCCCCACCTCTGCTGGGAGCCTCCAAGGAAGAGGGGGGCAGGTTTGAGCTGCTCTGTGCCGCACCCTCCCTGCACACTGGTGGATTTTGCTTTGCTGCTATCGAGGTCCTCATCTGCTGCTTTGGCTCCTGCCCACTCCTGACCTGAGCTCCTGCCTCCCACCAGCCTTGGCCGGGGAACCACACTTTAAACCTTTTGCAAAGTCTGTTTTCCACACACCCTAGAGTGAGCAGGGCAGTGTTTGGATGGGTGAGTAAAGGCTATTTGTTAATTTTCCCTTCCCAGGAGGGATGAGTAGGTTTGTGTCCTGGCTCTGGGCAGCTGCTGTGCTGAGAGGGATGCCTGCCCTCCTTCCTCCCTTCTCCTCTTGGAGCAGGGACCAGTGAAGCTGGGAGAAGAGAGAAGGAGAAAGGCAATTGCTTCCCAGCGCTGCCTGGGCACAGCCGGGAGCCGGGGCTCTCCCAGCGTCGCTCCCACACCCTCCTCCCCACCCACCATCCTGGATCCAAGCGCCCACCTCTGCCCCTTTGCATGCAGTGCCCAGCGTTCCCCTGTGCCTGGCTCCAAAGCTGGGATGGGGGCAGCCGAGCTGGCCACCAACTTGGGGCACAAACCTCCCCCCCCCCCCCCACGACTCCTTCCAGCGACGGTGAGGAATGCAAGCTTTATAAAGTAACCAAACTGCAGAATCTGATCGTGCTTCGAAGAAAACAGCCGGGCCTTTCGCTGTCTTCTACCTTTGAGCGCATGCCTTTTTATAGGGGAAAGAAACCCACCTTCCGTGTATTTCGTAACTTGATTTTGAGTATTTGCTGAAATGGATCTTTATGTAATAACTAGAAACATTCAACCGTTCAGGGCGGGGGGGGGGGGGGGGTTCAGGGGTTGCTGTTTTTTTGTCGCGTTTACACTTGGAGAGGTGTTGTGCTGCCACGATGCTCCTACCAGGGGTCCCATGGCTGCCAGCCCCCCACCCTGCAGGGGTTTGTCCCATCCTGTCCCACAGCACTGGGAGGGCAAAGGCACCCCATTCCAGGGGCACTCCCTCCCTGGGGCGCCTTCCTGCACCCCTTGGGTCTTCCTGCAGGGCAAACCCAGGCAGTGGCTCTTGGGGAGCCACCAGGATGTGGCTTTCAGGACAGAAGACATGGCTGGGAAGGGGAACTTTGATCCCACCTCTTTGCCATCAGGTAGAGGACTGAGGGTGGATGTTTTTCCAGCAAATCTTCCATTTCTTGTTCTCCTTTTTCTGACTGGAACCTCTTTGCTTGTTGATGTGAGACTCCTGCAGTGCTGCTGTCCTGGGGACTTTCTAGCTGCACTCTCTTCATATGCATGGCCTTTCACTTTCTAGACAGTGTGTGTGTTGAACAGCAAAGAAATAACAAAAACTCGCTTGTTTTGGACATAAACAAAAAACAAAACACAAAACACCAAAAAAAAAAGAAAAAAGAAGAAGAAAAAAAAAGGAAATGTTTTCTCTATGTAAATTCTGAGTGTGTATTTTTGCCTTTTCTGTGGTTTTGAATGCTTTGCTCTCTGTCGAGGCAGGGAGGGCTGCTGTGTGAAATGCAGCCACATCCTTGCAGACTGCAAAAATATTCTCCCACTGGATGGAAGGATAGAAATCCAGACTGTTGGGGCATGAGCAGGCCCTGAGAGGTGTTTTGGTGTGTCCCGCTGTGCCAGCAGCATGATGGCTGCTTGCTGGCCGTGTGTGTAGGAGATAAATCCCACAGGTTCTCCAAAAGGGCAAATGTGGATCCCACTGCCCTTGATGGACCTGTGCTGTTTGACCATGGAGCTGCTTTGCCTTGCAAGAGATGGCCCTGAAGCAGGGAAGTCGATGCAGGGAGAGGATTAGCTTTTCAAGTAGAGTTTGGGTGTTTTTATAGATCTGTTTTTCTTCCTGTAGTTGCATAGTGCTGGAGGTTTTTTTTTCATTTTTAAAAGGAAGGACTCAGCTCTTTCACAGTTCTCTCTCCCTTTCCAGAGCTGGCTCTGAAGCCAGCCATGGTGAGTGTCTCATCCACCTCCTGATGCCCAGGCTCTCTGGGTGTCAGGAGTATTCTGGGGAATTGGTACAAGGTGGATGAGGAATGAGGAGGTCACAGCAGGGCTCTGCATGGGTCTTCACATGATGTCAGCCTAGTTTTGGAGCTGCTGAGAGCTGTGGACCTCGGGTGGACTCTGAGGGGGAAGGTGCTCCAGCAGCTGCTGCTGGAGGATCTGGAACAAGAGGTTTGCTGGGAATGATGGATGACATGCTGAGGTAGATATACTCTCTTTTCACTGAGAGCCCACTATGGGCAGTTGCTGCTATGGAGGAATGTCTTGGTTTCCAGGGAGGTTTGAGCTGTCTTCTTGGAGGTGGTTTCTCCTTTTGAGGCTTCCCATCTGTCATGATTCCAGGGACAGGTTCCTCTGGAGGCAGCTGGATGTCCTTGCAACACCTAAAATGCTCCCAATACTTTCCAAGGGAAGCAGAGTCTGGGGTTTCAACTCCTTTCCAGTCTTCCAGTCAAGCTGAAGCCTGACCAAGGAAGACCCAACTTCCCAACCTGCCCACGCTGGCAGCATTAAGCACCTGCACTTTAGGGGTCTGTTCTGCCTGGTTTCTCTTCCCCACCTCACCCTGCTTGTCCTGAACAGGTTTCTGGCTCCCCAGACCATCTCTGAGCAAGCACTGAGAAACCACCACTTTTCTTTTAGTAGCCATGGTGAGCAGCTTTTGTCTCTGTCTTCTGTCACATTTCTTGATTTCTCCTGAATTTGCAGAAAAACAAACAAACAAACAAAAAAACCACCAACGGCCACCATCCTTAGGCTCAGAGAGCCAGGGACTCCATCCTTACATCTGTACTTTTAAGCTCTTGGCTCTGTGCCTCACATATACTAACTGGCATCACTTCAACACTCCCACCATGGTTCTAGGGATGACAAGGTCCAGGGCATGTTCCCAATAAGCAATATGAATGAGGCCACCTTGTTGGGATGGAGTTCACCAGGGACAGCCTGTCCCCACTGGTCTGTGGCACATTTCATTTCCTAGTACAGGCACAGCCAGGCACCCCATGTCACTTGGCCATCAGGGTCATACCAAATTAAGTAGTCCTCCAAACTGATTATCTCTTTCCCCTCTCAGAGAGCACAGGGCATACCTGAGTGGAAGCACTTTCTGTGGTAGTCTCAGCTCCCAGCTCTGTGGGTGAGCTCAAGAATCTCCTGTTTTCCTTTCCTGGCTGCCAGGGTCCAGGTCCAGCTGCAACATCATAATTTCTCAGGTCTTGCTCATGCAGCTGCTCTGGAAGAAGCAGAGGCTATTCCTGGACATCTGCTCTTTTTGGAGGAGCAGGTAGTTCTCTCCTTACCCCAGCCAAGCACAGCCAGGACAGCTGGCTTTCCCT